TATTACTATTATTATTATTATAAAGAGTAAAAATTATTTATAAAAAATTTGAAATAGTCGTCGTTTATGTGATAAAAAAAATAATAATAATAAAAATGATGAAAGTTTAAATATATTGTAACTTATCGTAAGCAAGGTTATTTGTTTAAAACAAAAATGACGTAAAAACTTTTATTATTATTATTATTATTATTATTATTATTATTATTATTATTATTATTATTATTACTATTATTATTATTTTTAAGAGAAAAATAAGTTTATTAATAAATAAATTGGAAAACGTGCATAAATGACCGAACGCGCAACAAAAAACATTACGAATTTTTTACTGCTGTTGTTGTCGTTTGTTTTCGTTTGTTGTTGTCGTTTGTTATCGTTTGCTGTTGTTGTTTGTTGTCGCTGCACGAATTTAAAAACGCGAATTTACGTCAAAATAAATAATAAAAAGGATAATAACCGAATTAAAAGTATAAATTACGACGGTAATTTTCGCTTCGTCGATTACTACCTGAACAAATATGAAAAAAAAAAAAAAAATTGTAATTAAATGTCATTCAGGTACGGTCGGTCGGTCGGTAGGTCGGTAATGACCCCAACAAATAACAATTTTTTTTTCGTTTTTACAAAATGGCGACGAAAGAAAAAGAGAAAAGTAAAATTGGAGTGTACGATTTCGGAATCGTAATCTCGCAATCGATTCATAATTAATGTAATAATAATAATGATAATAATAATAATGATAATAATAATAATAATAATGATAATGATAATAATAATAATAATAATACGTTTGTGCAAATAGGTAAATGACAAACGATTATTTTAAATAACGTTAATAAGGTTATCGAAAGTAGGTTTTTTCATTTTTCTTTTCGTTTAAAACGTGCCCCCTCCCTTTAGGGGATGTTTACGTATCGAATGAATGAAAATTAAATCCGCCCCTGTTTTTTTTAAAAAAAAAAGTTTAAGAAATAATTTTTACTTAAATGGCGACGACGACGAAATTAAATATCCGGAGGGTTTTTTTTTTTTTACTAAAGTGAAATCGGTGACTTGATTATAATAATAATTATTATTATTATCATTATCATTAGTAGGTTTAAAAATTTTTTATGTTTTTTTTCCAGCGATTACCGTATCCGAAATCGGTATTTTTCATTGTCACAAATGAATTTTGCGAAAGGTTTTCATTTTACGGGATGCGTAGTAAGTAATTTATTATTATTATTATTATTTTGTGTGTTGAGCGATGATGATGATGATAATGCAAAAATGATAAAACAACAACAACAACAACAACAACTTTTCGTCAGGTTCATGACGTCGAATTAATCATTAAATGGGTTTATTAATGTGAGAAAAATTTTTCGTTTAAATTTTTAGCCATCCTCGCACTGTACCTGAGATACAAACTCGATTTCGACGATGCCTTATCTACCGTCATATACCATGTATTCATTATGGTATGTTATTTTTTTCCACTTTTGGGAGCCGTTTTGGCCGACAGTTGGTTGGGAAAATTCAAAACGATTTTATATCTTTCGATCGTATATGCGATCGGTAACGTCATCGTGTCAATATCAGCCATACCGGACACGTTACCCCGCGTGTAAGCATTATCGGAACCTGATATTCGGTTAAAGTAAGTACGTGTATGGACTCACCAATAATCCTTGTCGTTGCAGAGCATTTACCATGATCGGATTGTTACTCATAGCTTTCGGTACGGGTGGTATAAAACCCTGCGTGTCAGCATTCGGTGGCGATCAATTCGTTCTTCCGCAACAAGAGGATCAATTACAAAAATTTTTTTCAATTTTTTATTTCGCCATTAATTCCGGAAGTTTCATATCGACATTTCTAACTCCGATACTAAGAGAAACGTCTTGTTTTGGACAGGATTCTTGTTATTCTCTAGCTTTTGGCGTACCTGCCATTCTCATGGTTGTTGCCATAGGTAATGTCATTTAATTTATTGACATTCTGCGGATCCTTTAACTGAAAAAAATTTATATTTATTTTAGTTATATACATCGGTGGACATAAATTCTACAAAGTTAAAAAACCAGAAGGAAATGTTGTTGTGAAAGTTGGAAAATGCGTTTGGGTGAGTGTTTTTCTAATCCATTCGAAAATGATGTATGGATTTAATAATAATAATGATAATATATTTTCATCAAGCATGCCATCACGAAAAAAGACGATCAGAAGTACACGCACTGGTTGGACAAAGCACAAGATAAATACGAAGTTGGATTTATAGAAGATGTAAAAGCAGC